TTTAATTGTGTGTCAAGTGAGAAGTAACAAATTGACGTTTAAGCAAATGAAAAATAAGTAATACTCTCTTCGTTCCTAAATTAAAGTCGCATTTTTCTTTTTGGGATGATCCTGGACAAAGTCTCGCTTTCTTATTTGGTAACCAAATCAAAATTAAGATAATGTAAAATAGTGTCAAATGGTGTCAAACAATGTATTCCATAGTAAAATATATCTCTCACTAAATTTATTTCTTTAATATGTGTGATGTCAAACCATAACTTTAATTAAGGGACGAAGAGAGAGTATAAGTGTATAAGAAATTATATACTTTAAAGAGAAAGTTTTAAATATTTTAGGATAAGTAAAAAGAAAAGTTAAAAAGGTTGAATTGATCGAAGAGATGGAGTCGTGGAGTACACACCAAATCAATAACTCTTTCATACGAGTATCTCATTTGACTTTACGCTTATCACACTCATACATGAATTTTTCAACACAAATCACAATTGTTGTTTTAAAACGATCCGATCATTTCGTACTATACCTAGCTAAATTTTGGCCCCTATAAAATTTATTTCTAGCCTTGCCATTAACGATGTCAAATGGAGAAGAAAGAACAGAGTTATACTAAATTATTAATTACTAAGTGGATTATATAATTACAATACTTACGCTCATACTGAATTTCTAAGTTCAATTTTAAAATCTCATATTAGGTCATATACTCCCTAGTTTGTACGAGTAATAGATTTGAAAAAGTGCGAGTATTCTTTCTACCAACTTCTCTTGTGATATACTCCTCGGGTATCTATTTAGTTGTTTCAAGTGAGAAGAACCCTTTGGGTGAGAAATGAGAATGAATCTCAGTCATTGGATTCGACTAAGTTGCAGTAAAAGACACTTCATGATGCACTAAAATATGCAATCTAGCACGGTGGTATTTCTGTAAATACTTCTGAAAAATCCGTATTACACGTGTCTAGTGCAACATGAAGCTATTTCGGTGCAATGCCGTCAAATATTAGTGCAACATGAAAAAGTTTTAGTGCAACATGTGCAAAATTTAAATATGACTGCAACATAAAGCCAATTTTAGTGCAACTTCGTAAATCCAATGGCTGAGATTCATTCTCATTTCTCACATTAAATGCATTTCTCACCTGAACCAAAATCTACTTTTTTAAACGTATCAAGTTAATTCTCTCATTCCTTTTTTGAAAAGAAACCTACTTAAAAAACAATTATAGTAGCTTCGCTACAGCATCACTAGAATACCAAAAACCTCTTATTTTTAATATAATCTACGGTGTACTAATTATCTCAAAATACATAAAAAAAAAGCAAATGAGTCAATTAATTAGATAGGGACAAAGTATAAAACAAGAAATAAATACAATTTCCCAAATATATTTTCCTCCGATTGTCATATTTGGAAAATACTCTTTTAAGTCTTAAATATGGATGAATGCTATACTAATGTCTGAGAATACTACGGAGTATATAATTTGGCATGATAATTTCAAAATAACTGCGTTTAATCTGGCATTACGAGAGAAACAAATACTACTCGTATTGTTATACGGAGCAAAATTTTACAATGTCTTTGCTTCTATCTAACAAAATTTTTGACTTTACGGAATACTACGTACTACGTATGTCTTTTTCTCTACTTTACTTTTGCACCATCGTTTCATTTTGTTTTTATTTCCAGTCTGAAAAGGTGAGGGAGCTAGTAAATACTACGTAATACTCTTTCCGTCCCCTAAATTTGTCCTGTTTTATTTTTTCGTCTGTTCCATTAAGTTTATATCATACCATTTTTGTTAATATTTGAGTGGTTAGAATTCATTCTTACTTTATCACACTTTATCAATTCAATATTAACCACACAATTCTACTTTTTCTTAAAAATCACACCACATCCCTTTGTCCCAAACTTAGGGGGATGTGTGAATCTATTTTTAATACTCTCCTAAAAAACTTCCAACTTTCCTTTTTCGTTCGTCCCAAATAAAACTTTCACTTTCCTTTTTTGATAAAAGTTTTGTAATTCAAAAAATTTCTTATACATTTCTCTCTCCTCGGCACAACTCTCCACCACATAATATCCACAATCTTAAACTGTTTGTTCAACATATTTGGAAGTTTTATTAAGGACGGAAGGAGTAGTTAGAAGAAATAAAATTGTCGTGGCCGTGCATCTATTCTAAAAATTACTCACAAATCACAATTACAATAATATGGATCAGCTTTCTCGAGAGTCCAGACACATTGTTTAGTGGCTGACAAATAAACCCCAGGACAGCAGGCATTTGTTAGGCTAACCGCAACCCAGCCCGTCAATAAATCTAATCTCACACCACTTTATACGTATTCACTCAGTCAATTCAGTTTTTCTCTGCAACCCAGCACCGTCAATATATCCACTCAGCACATTTTTTTTAAGTAAATGCATATATAAATCCTTACTTTTTTCTATTACACATCACTAATGTGATAATTTTATTTTCACCAATAATTATTATTTAAAAAGTCAAACATTCCGATGTAAAAAATAAAAAAATGGGAATTAATTATTTGTAAGCATAAAAAAATGCCTACTTGAGTTTAATTTGAAATAAATTCAAAACTATTGAATATATTATTGCTAAATTATTAATTTATCATTTCATATACTATTACTAGGTGAATATAAATTAATTGATTAATAATATTGATATATCATTAATTTTAGAAAATATATATGCTTAAGAAAAAAATTAGGCCTGAAAATTTCTCCATCAGATAAAACTTCATATTTTTTATAACACTTTATATATGACATATTGATGTCATGTGAAAGGTGATAAAAAATTATGAATTTTGATATATTTTTTATAAAAATTGAATTTCAAATAAAAAAGTTACACCATTTTTAACAAAATTGGGATTTTGATTTAATGTGGACCCTCACATTTTCCTAACCTTGCGGCTTGCTTCCTTCCTCTCTCTTGGGGCAATCCACCGTCTATATTCCCCTCCCAATAGGTTCTCCCAATCCACAATGGCTCCCCACTCTACTTTTTTTTGTTTGGGTTGCACCATTTTTGGAGTCAAAACTTCACATATGAGTTTTTCACCCCTTGCATTGCGGGTAGCCTTACGAGTATGTCTCAGTAATGCGTCCTTTCACATACTCCCACCCATCACCTGCTATGCCGCTATTCATCGCCTCTCGTATCGATTTTCTTAAAAAAAAAAAAGGATGACACCCCATCCTTGAGAGCCCCCCCAACACCGACCGGACGGCACGATGGGAGGATGTAAATTGGACTATAATCACAATCTGACAGATAGAGAGTGGGGCTCTGTCCCCGGTACTTGCAGAGGCCCTATGCATTTTTCAGCATAGTAACCCCTCATCGCAGTTGCCGGGATTCGAACCCGAGACCTAACCCTTGTGGCACTCCCTCGCTACCAGTTGAGCTACGCCCACCAGTTCTCGTATCGATTTTCTTTTCGGAGGCAATTATTGCTTTTGGATTTTCTTTACCTACGTACTGTTTTAAATGGTGCTCGATAGGGTGGAGTTCGAATCCCAATAACGATGAAAAGTTACTATTATAAAACTGCTTAGGGTTATGCAAGTGCCACTCAGAGCCCCGTTCTCTATCGGTTGATTTGTGATTAAAGTCCAACATAAGTCTAAATCACATCCCCTCAGCTCCTTTTTTTAGAATTATAAAAACATAATTTTGATCTTCTATACAAGTAATACACAACGTGTACATAAAATTTCGATCACAGATCATTGGTACAAAGTTTCTAGTGAACATAAATAAGAGTTGTCTTATCCACAGAAAATTTTTGTCTATGTCTATGGACATTAGCTTTCGTGTAAAAAAGTACATTGCCAATCGCGTGACATTGACATTGGCATGTAAATCAATATACTCCTTCTGTCCTATTTATATTGTCCCATTTTACTTTTTGGGAAGTCCCACTTAAATTGTCCCATACCATATTTGACAAAGTTTGTGTGACTCTAAATCATTCTTACTTTATTCTTACTTTATCAATTAGTATCAACCACACAAACTCACTTTTCTTAATAACCGTGTCACTCTCTTCCGTCCCAATATAAATGGGACAGATGTAGTATGTGTGTAGTGCTTGTGTGCATAAAAAACAATTGCTTGTGCACATATAATTATTTTATGTGACTAAATGTGGATTTTTCAAATAGATTTTACCTCACAGATAATAGTTGTACGATTCACATCCAATTATTGTTTGTGTATAAATTTTAATTGCATGAGCGAGCGAAAAAATTAATTGCCTATATATATCCAAATAAATTATGTAGTTGTATGTGTGATCAATATACATTTGGTTTGAAAAAAGTACTCGAGAGTATAAAAATAGATGAATAAGCTGATTTTGTGCAAGAAAGAGAAAAAATTGGATATAAAAATTAAAAGTAGAGAAAAGCGGGTGAAGAAAGGAAGAGAAGGATGAAGAAGTAAAGAAGATCATCCAATTTTTTGCATAACCGAAGGAACTCAGTAGAGGGGCGGGGAGGAGATGGAGAGAAGGGAGGGCGGATGAAAATGTTTTTGCTTTTTATATTATGTCAAGGGAGGATCTATGCATAGACTATGGTAGGCTTAAGTCCAGGACAACTTAAAAAAAATTCAATTTATTAATGTAAATTTTTGAATCTTTCACGTTTAACTCACCCTTCTAATATTTAAACCTAGTATAGTTTATTTTCAATCTGAGGGCATTTCAAATTTCTGAATCCACCCCTATATTACGTATAACTTGTGTACGAGTTATGTACAAACATCTTTTTAAAAAAAAAATAAAAATAAAATTACAGTCATTGCATTAATGATGATTAGAACTATGATGGTTAATGGTGACGGTCAGTGCGGTTGCTACTCTTGTGATAGTTGTGATAAGGATTTTGATGGGTACGGTGATACGATGTAAATCAATTATACATTCTCACTGGAAAAAAAATAGTATTGCGGTCCTACTGTGGTCGGTCGGTAACCCGAATGCGGTTACTTTGCGGTTGCATTTCTATGTTGTGGTCCGCAATTTAATCCAAGTTTAGAGCCTGTTTTGAGAAGATTGAAGTTGGCTAAAATTGATGAAATTCTAGCTGATATGTTCAAGGATTTATGTTAGGGGTTGGTAAGCTGAAGTCTAGGGCAATTAAAAGTAATGTTATGTATTGAAAAATGCATGATAGCAGGAAGATGAATTGAAGCTGAGTATTTAATTTAACTATGTATATATTGATTCACGTGTTGTTGTGGGATCGCAGACGAGGGTGGTCTATCGTCAGAAGATGAGAACAACAATGAGGCCATAAGTAGCGAAGATGGGGAGCTGAAGAACAAGCTGCTAGAGAAGTATGGTGGGCATATAAGCAGCCTAAAACTGGAATTTTCAAAGAAGAGAAAGAAAGGGAAGCTCCCCAAAGATGCCAGACATATACTGCTTGAATGGTGGAAGGTTCACTACCGGTGGCCGTATCCTACGGTATCTTTTCTTTTTCTCTCCGACCTAGGATATGCAAAATGTATGATAAAACTTTTCTTTGGTCTAGTTCACTCTCCTTGACTCGGGTATGATTTAGGGTTTAGGGGTGTGGCTAAATCCTAAACCCTACACTTTAAAATTTATGAGTTTAGTTTAGGCTTTGTTTGTAAGTGCTTGTGTTTAAAAAAACACTTTTTTGAAAAAAGTGATTAACCGTAAAAGTTGATAGTGTTTGGTAAAATAAGTACTTTTTGTGTAATAGAAAAAGTAAAAAGTTGATTCTACACGAAAGCCGAAAAAAGTAAAAGTTGGTAGTAATTGAAAAAATGAGTATTTTTTTAAACCAAAAGTTGGGAAGTGCTTTTTTAAGTGACGTTGGGGCCACTTTAAACCCAAACCCACACAAAAATTCAATTTTATTCAGATTAATATTAAGTAAAAACATGTGTAAAAAGCAATTGCTAAGTCCCTAACTATGTCACTGTCCAAAGAGCTCGTTTGGACTGGTAACCTTTATTTACAATTTATTAGCAATTGTTTTTCTAAATACATCGACGATTTTCAAGTTGAAATTACTTTTATACTCAATTAACTAAAGTTATTGCAAAAGACCATTTAACTATTTTCATATAATAGTTTCTTTATTTTAATAGTATAATATATTTTAAATATTATTTTTTCACTAACTTAACAACAATTTCAGCCAATTCTTATTTTCAGCCATAATTTCACCATTATCAATAAATTCGGACAATTTCATTAGTGCCAAACAAGCTCTCAGTGTGTCAAATAATGAAAAAATGTCGAGCATTATTACATTCTTTTTCCTCTTAAGATTGAGATAAGAGAGGGTGGTGTGACTATTAGAAGAGTATATATAGTTCCTATAGAATTGGTAAAATGTAATATAACACAAAATGAATTAGAACCATATAAATTTTATCAAATTTATATGATGCGTCTGGATGAAAAAGGAAAAACAGAACAAATGGAGTAACATTTAAGTCTCCTCATAATAAAGGTTTGGCCGTCAGCAGTTGGCTGTTAATTAGTTGATAGTCGATTGTATCAGGTGATTGGTATCAACGGATTATGTTAGTTGTTTTGACTTCTGACTAGCTGTTATCATTAACGGATTAGAGTAAATAGTTTGGTAACTTAGATGTTTATCATTAGTGGTTGAGGCGTAAAATGAATATTAAGGAAATAAATACTACCTCCGTCCCTTTTATATTGGGACGGAAGAGGGTGACACGAATTTTAAGAAAAGTGAGTTTGTATGATTGATATTAATTGATAAAGTAAGAATAAAGTAAGAATGATTTTGAGCCACACAAACTTTACCAAATATGGTATGGGACAATTTAAGTGAGACTTCCCGAAATGATAAAACGGGACAATATAAATGGGACGGAGGGAGTAATAAACTGTGTGTATGTATGTATAGGAAAATTTTCTCCTCGTGACTTCTTGACCGGAACCACTATCAGGCCGCCGTCATTTGAAGTGGTTCTTGATGGAGTTTTTGATGAAATTTTGTGCGTATGTTCTTTATGAAGTGTAGAACATGTCCACAAAATTTCAGCTCAAATTTCAATCAAGAAGTAAGTTAAATAAACTATTGAAAAATATTGCGTTTTTTATAAATTTTTTGGCGCAATGTTTTTCAATAATTTAGTTATGTGACTGGAAGCACTATTGGATGAATTGAAAGTGCTTGTGTTTATGATAAATGAGTTTATCAAAAACACTATTTGATAAATAGTTGTTCAGTCCTAGCGTTTTTGGATGGAAACGCGGCAAATAGTTGTGTTTTGGGATAGCATTTTGAAATAGCTCATTTTCTAATAAAGACTATGACCAAACAATTAAATTATCAAATACTTCGTACTACGTATTTTTTTTTGTAACTTACCAACTAATTCCGCTAGTCAATCTCATTAGTTAAATCCTCTATTAACAACCTGCTAATAGATAACGGACGCTTAATATGGCCCTCAATTTTCTTTTCAAATATCATAATTGGCTAGTTATGGAGCACATAAATTCTCAAAAATAGAATGTTTCTGTTTTAGAAACTCTACGAAAACCCGTTATCCTTCAAAAATTCTGAGATGACAATTTTACGTTTACTCGTGATTTTCTTGTTTCCGTGCAATATAGCAGGCTAGAAAATAACGTATTACCGTACCACACTCAAGTAACAAAGCATTTTCTCTATGAAAGGTCCCCATTGTTGATCTAGCAAAAAACAAGTCTCTAATCAATGGCATGCAATGCATTATGTCGTCTTTGCGTTATTTCTTGCTTTAAACAGTGTTTTGTGATGAACAGTGGGTGAGGTTAATTAATTAATTAATTATTCAGGAGGCAGATAAGGTAACGTTGGCTGAAATAACAGGACTAGATCAGAAGCAAATCAACAATTGGTTTATAAATCAAAGAAAGCGACACTGGAGACCATCAGGACATATGCAGCTAGCTGTTATGGACAACCTCGCCGCCACCGCCGCCCGACAGTTCCATCGTCTCCCTTGATTATAATACAGAGTAGTAATAACGGCGAAGTACGACTAATTCAGGTCTCATTTTCATCGGCCGGCATGTGGGGAATCTCTTCTCTCCCCTAGAGGCTCTCTTCATTTCCTGTACATTTTATTTTAGGCCAATGTAATTTTGCTCCCAAATCTGAGCATACAATCAATCACCACTTCAGTCGCTTTAATTCTATGCCTAAGTAAATTTCAATACAATTTTACTACCACCAAAGCTACTAAGCTAGTCACAGGTTTTAAGTTTTAAGGTGTATCACGTTTGGTTAGCTGGTTTTAACTTTCAAATGAGAAGAAGATTAAAGAGGATAAAAAAAAGAGGATAAAAAAACTAGAAGGAAATGTATAGGGATATGTAAATCTGGAGAGAATTAGTCAATTACCCAATTCAGAACTCTTCTGAAATGGAAAAAGAAAGAAGGGGTCAATTGACTACATTAATTTGTATGAGACCATCAGGTGGAGTAAAGAGCACATTATATTACATCTAACATTCCGAATCACATAAATTCGGATTTTAGTGTTAATTGAGGATGTTTTTACTTGGACTGTAATTTGCTGGTCTGGTCTGATCTGGTCTGGTCTGGTCTGAACTGGTCTGGTCTGGTCTGGTAAGGTCTGGTTTCTTTGTATTTTTATAACTATCCAAGTCTGGTCTTGTCTGGTCTGAACTGGTCTGGTCTGGTCTGGACTGGTCTGGTCTGGGACAAATTACACTCAAAGTAAAAACATCCTGAGTACACCTGTTAGATTAACACATTAATATGCGTACGGGTTTAAAACCACCGCATATTAGCTTTTTTCCACCAGTGATGGCTGAGTAGGCTAATGGAATGCAGAGTCAACTAGCTAAGTTCATTCCATGTCAACTACCTAATTTCAATCCAAACATCCGTTTAGTGCATGCATTTTCAAACAAACGTGTATTTTAAGTGTTATGTGATCCGGGAACAATCTCTCGGTTGCGTATATCCGCTCCCCCCTTAACACACCGTAGGTGGGAGACTTCGTGACACTGGGGTAATGTTTTTGTTTGTTATAAAATTCACAATCTGCTCTCTGGAAGTACAGGAATATACTACGTACATAGTTTCCTATTCTTTGAATATGTGCCCTAAATCCTCCTCTCTGGAAGCAACAAACTCATAAATATATGCTCTTAACAGCCAGTTTTGTGTCTCAATCCTCCTCTTATGAGCAAGTATTTTGTTGCATTCTAAAGGCACTTGGGCACTTCATCCAAAGCAAATAAAAGTAAGTTATTTTTCTTTACTTTTATACTGAAATTGATTTTACCATGTTTTTCTTTCAGAAAATTAAATTCTCACCAAAGTGGCTCTTGGTGTAATACGGCTTAGGCTTGTTTTTATTTTAAATGAATATCGTATTCAGTGGCAGAGTCAGAAATTTAGTATTATGACGACCCAAAGGTTGAAAATTAAAAATACACTACATGTTCATATTTGAGCTTTTTTTTTTTACAGATTATATGTATTTGTAAATATATAAGTATACCAAAAATATTGGGGGTCGAGACCACCCCTTAGCTCTGCCATTGTACCTATTCCGCCATTACACCTATTCTTGATTAACAAATGAACTTCAAGAGAGGTCATAGGTGTATACAATTTCGCTAAACGAAGTGTACATGATAAACTCTAGCTCTTCTTTCCCTAACCAATATGATGGTTTAACACTTCTTAACCGCGTATAAAGTCATGATACATAACTCTGGTTGTCTAGGTTCCGCCATGATCCCCTCCCATTCTTTAAGAGAGATGTGTACAACAACTCATTCCATGTGTCTGGCACTCCAGGCAGGCACCAATGGCTACAATCTTGAGCTTGCAAAGAACTTTTATTATTGGCTCTATAGATGGAAGGGTGGCCATCTTTCCTATAGTCTGTAAGCATACTAATGTTCATATATCCCACAGGTGTTTTCATATCATGAAGCACTTGCTCAAGAACTTGCATCTTGGAAGGGTACTTCTCCAAATGCATTTTGTTTAAAAATGGTTCCGTTTCGTTATGGCATTGCCCCCCTGAGTTCCATGGGCCTCCTCTGCAAATTGTAGAAGTTGTATTATTGAAAGAACAAGTAACTATATTCCTTATATTGATTTATAAGCATAGTATATAAGGGCTTATTTAGGACATGAGTCCAGATAATGGGAAAAAGAATCACAATGGGGGATAGGAAATGGGTTAACAATATTCTTCAAATATAATTTGGCAACGGTTGCCTACCATTGACAACACAAAAACTAGGGTTGCCTCTTGACGACACCAATTGATGCCGCTGGGCGAAGGCATGATACCATCTATAACTACGATTTGTTCAAGTTTGTTGTTAAGCATTGGACTCTATATCATATAGAAGTTTTACTCCTAATACATATAACTATTAACTAAGGATATACTAATAATAAATGTATAGTTGATAAATCAATCGAAGTCTTTAGTTGATTCAAAGATTAAAGATTAACAAGCAAGAGAAGAGGTGATACCGGAAATGTGTAAGCGAATATCCTCTAAAGAAAACTTGAGTTCTTCTTGCATCAATGTTCTTATCCACCCACCTTGCCCAAGTGTAAAGCGCTCTCTTATATGCTTCAAGAACCTTGAGTTGTGGGTGCACATGATTGCCTTCCTGGTAGTAGTCTGCGCTGCATAACCCCCAAAAGCAAAAGTCTTCATTAATTGATATGACTAATTTCAACAAGTAACATGCATGGATCCATGATTTGAAAAAGAGGACTTCAAGAGGTCAGGTCTAGTATAAAACCCTGAGTACATAAAGGGAGGGCATTTCGGGTTCGTTCTTTTTTTGTTTCACTTTTGGTTTGGTTCATTTTAAAATAGGTTGTGGAATCATTATCAAATTAAAACCAAACTACGTTTCTTTTGTTTGTTTTGGGGTTTGGTTTTATTATTTTCTGTAGATATCCTAAGCTTTGTTGGGTTTTATCATTCAGCTTCGATTCAGGTAGATACAGTTTATAAAATATTCAGGTAGATACAGTTTATAAAATATATTACCCAACGAAAACTGAATTGAATATGGTTCGGCTTCAGTTTGGATTAGTTTGGTTATGCCAAACCGAACCAAATGCCTGCCACAAGTATATACTCCACATCCAAGCAGGATTTATTTAAGAAGCAAGTACAAAACTAACCCTCTAGAGGTTTTCTCATGAGTCCACCAATGACCAGTATTAAAGATAATGATGTCTGCATCATTATACATAGAAGTAGTGCTGTCCATCAAGTCCAACCTAAGTGTCTCAAAAGAACCACTTGCCCCTTCAAAAGAAGATTCTCTTACAAGAAATGGAGAGCTAACAAAGTCCACAGAACAGTTAAAATCCTGCAGCAGGTTAATCATATGCACACCATTATTAAACATTGTATAATGGCTTCTAGTTTGATTAATTACAACAGCTATATGTGTAACTGTTATATAAGTAGGTATTGAATACCTCAAATCTGAATGCATAAACCCCCTTCTTTTTGAAGTCACTCCTGCCTGATATCTCAAAAACTCTGTTCTTGTCACTAATACCTTGGCGAAGGATGCATACAAGAGATTCCCACATATTTCTGTTTAACGAGTCACCCACAAATACAAGTTTCTGACCCCTCATCCTCTCCAAAAAATCGGTCGCATTGAGGCTGAATAGAACCACAGAAGAATTATTAGACTACATCCATCAATCTGTTCATAACCTTGGATCAATCTTCTAATATACGAAGTATGTTAGTACTACTAACAAACAAACATTACGAGGTTAGTCCCTACACTAAGGAGAACATACATACAACTAGGGGCTAGCCCGAGCCTAGTTTGTCAAGTAGGACTAACACCCGTGAGGTTGCAAGTTCAATTCTTATTGGATCTGCCAATTGGTCTTCTTAGTTTGAGCCTGTCGGGCATGGATTAATCTCGAATGGGTGGCAATATTTACAGCAATAGGTAAAATACGTACACAAAGGGTCATCTAATAAGGCGGGCAAAAACTGTTATTAGGACATGGCATCCTAATCTAGAATGCCTAAAATTTTGAAAATATACTCTACATAGTATATAAAATCTCTCTTTTTAAAAGAAAATCCTATTTTAGTGTTTTATTTTGAAAAATATGGCCATCATATGATAATGATTGAAACATATTTGTGTATGAAAAATGTGCATAATTTTACTCGCTAAGGCCTAATTTCTATTATTAGCAAAATGCCTCCAACATGTTGAAGACGGCCTTACCTACATACAACATGGTTCCAAATGCATGGACATATTAAGGGCATCAAATAAATACTTCTCATATGGTATTGATGTACTTCTCTTATAAACCCCAAGTTTAAAGCAGACAACAAACTTATTTATGAATAAGAAACAAAAACATCACAGTAAGATCAAGACATTTCTAAAGGCAAATTTCATCAACCCAAACAATGCAATGGAACAGTGAAATGCATCAACCTAGTTCTAAACAAACTGTCAATAAATTTTTAATTACCTTGGGATGTCACATGCATATGGTTGCCATTTCCATTTGACATACCCTTCATCTGGCCTCTTGTTGAGATGACAGTCAAAATCCACATCAATATAAGGGCAAGAACCAGGAACGTAATAAGGCTTTGTTTCATCTCTTACCCATTCACCATCAAAGATATCACAATCACCATGAAAACTCCTTCCTTTTATCAAAACTGGACCTTTGCTCTGATTACCATTTTGCCCTTCAAGTGATGAAAAACTCACATTTTTACCGTTCCCAGCAAACCCACCGACACTATTCTTCTCCACATTAGTAAAGTTCACATTTTTACCAATCTCGGACGGGTTTAACTCACGGGTTCTCTTCCACAGCCCTTCTTTCTTCTTACCGGAGAAATCCCGGAGATTTTCCCCGGCGGCGTTGTTGTTAAGCCCCTGAAGCACAGAATTCATAAACGGAGCTTTGAATGAGAAGTTGAGAAGAGCAACTCCAAGCATGAAGAATGTAGCCAGAGCCCACAGCCAACAGCAACCGGTAGACTTCCTTCTCGGCGATAACTGGCCGGAAAACTGACCGGAGAACGCATGTTTCTTGAATTCCATACCTTTACGCAGTAAAAAATGGGGATAAATTCAAATGAAATGTCGGCAATATGCTGTTGTACTTTACTGTCGGGGAAGAGTTCGTAGGAGTAAATAATGGTGTCTGTGTTTTTACAGGGATAAGAGATTTTCGGTCGGAGATTACAATGAATAAATGTTATTATGAGGGTGGTGGTGTTTTGTAAAAAAGCAATTTGAAAATGGGTTAATTTTGAAAAGGTTTCACGTTCAAACGGTGACAGAGATTCGAATTCAAAAAGAATTACGACACAAGAAAAGAGACAGTTGATTGATGGCAGCAACCCATTAAATTCTTCGTTAAAGAAACTGTTGAGGAAGTAGAGATTTCTGAAATTTAACAACATTTTAACGAATATATGCATTTGCTGTTTTTAATGTGACTCAATTGATAAGCGCAGATTTACTAAAAATGCTACTCATTCTCACATAATAATCTCGTTTTTCTCTATTTGGCACATAATTCGCGGTCAAAATTTGTCTCCCTCTTGTCTAAAAATTGTTCCAAATTTGACTAACACGAAAACTAATAAAGTAAAAATTGTGTAGTTAAAATTTGTATTGATGAAAGATAAGTAAAAAGAACAATAAATTAATTAATTAAAAGAAAAGTAACAAAGTTTTTTGGACGTCCAAACAAGGAAAGATGACATAATATAAGTAACATGGGTGTAATATTTATTACACATTTTTACATACTTCGTATTTTTCTTTTCTCTACACAAATCTCTATTACACAATTTTCTATTCTCTATTACACAATTTTCTATTCTCTATTAAACAATTCTCATTTAAAAGAAGATTCAGTAATGGAGTACAAATTACAAATGATTGTCCATAAAACAAATTTGACTTACATAAAAGCATATTATGGAACATAAATTTTCGTTTTTGACGATGTAGTTTTTCTTTATGAAAAAACAAACACAAACGACAGAAAAGTGCAAAGACGTATCCTCGCTCTTCACAAGTGGCACATGCATATGTTCCTGTAAATAAAACAAATACGGGTGTGGTACTCCATATTATTTAGAGGTCGCTTGGTAACACTATTTTTCAACTTATAAGGTTTATCAGTCAACTTTTTCACCAAATATGTAACTTTTGCTTTCACGCGTTGAATTGTGTAATAAGAAGAAAAAGTAAGGTTGAAGTTACTTTTCTGACTGTATTGGCTGAAGTTACAGTAGATGACCATTTTAGCAATTTTTACATACAAATTTTTCTTTATTTTATTAATAAAATATATTTTAAAAATATTTTTTTCTTAAATCAACAGAATCAGCCAATGCAGCCACTTCAGTCAGAACTTCATAAATTTCAGCAGAATCAGCCAAAACAGTCGATTTTCGTGCTACCAAACAGGCTCTTAAATTATTTTATAATTTCTTTTATATCATCA